TGGTTTTCAAGGCGCTTTTCGATGCCCGTGTCCAGGCTCCAACAGGCTTAAGCAAATGCGGTTCCTCCAAACCCGAGCTCCTCAACCGGTGCGCTTCGCGACCAGGCACCGGGCCATCAGGGACAAACACCTCAGAGCGGGCGACCCCAACTGCCCGACGCGCCAGCCCATCCAGCCCGACGGCGCCAGCCCATACCGCAAAGCACCAGCACCCCCCGCAAACGAGCTGGAACTCCCACTGCAGGCTTTGGGGATCTGCTCATTCAACAATCACGAAGAAAAAGCTGTGTTTAGCATTCATACGCATTCAGGCTCAGTTTGTTTACACATCGGTTGCAACAATATTTAGATACAATCTACAATGCAAACACTACAATATATACTAATATTATAATTAACATCAATACTTTCTGTGGTTGGCTGTGTTGGCTTACATCATCTTACATTCACAACCAATACTGTACACTCTACGACGAGCCCGGGTCGCGCCGGACCCCTCGTCGATGTTTCGACGTGTTGGTGAGTTATTTACACCCCAAACGAAGTGGTCACAACGTCACCATCAATCATTTGGTGTTGGTTTGTGGGGTGTGTTGATGTTTCTATATGTTTCTATGGGTGAACTCAAATGATGTTGGTGTACTATGATGCATTGGACTATTGGATTGTATGGGTGTATCTGCACCAATTGACTTGGCAATTTTCAAGAACAAAAGAAAGCAGAAATGCCATAGACTGCATAGACTGTTGGACTACCAACCCGAAGAAGGGGAGGTCCTTCCAATTTCAACGCACACCCACATGGTGGTAGAGTTGTAGGTGAAAAACAACATATCCAATGTTCATCAAAGAAAACAGGTTTCAGGCTACGACTGGGTGATGACTGGGTGTCCAGCAACCTGAGGATCAGGTTGAAACTTGAAATCCTTGGAACAGAAGGGTTATATCATCACCGTTGATTCATCAGCTTCATCTTTCGGGGTCTCCAATCCCCACAGACTGCCCGGGGGGGGGCCCAGGCATGGCTTCTCCCTTCAAGAAGGTAGGGACCAAACCCCCCAGTCTTCCCAACCCAATTAGTCCTCCTTTCGGATCTGGTCATTGCGTCGCGCTTCAAAACTCCCTCCAGTGGAACCATGCCCCCGAGCGCTCCCCAACCGACCGCGCCAGCCACGAGCCCCCGGCGATGCCACGAGCCCGCGTCGGCGGCCTGAAGCGGGGGGTGCGTCACGAGGGGTGAGGCGCGAGGCAGTGTCGTGTCCTCTTTTTTGGGAGGGAGATTTGCTTATATAACGAACCCGGAAAAGCACACATAATAAGAAGGGGAATGATTCACACATAGGGAAAATAAATAAACAATATCATTATCTTAACATTTAGCAAAACCAGGTTTTTGGGGGGATCCCAAAAGAGTCGTTCATCTGGCAAGGCCGGTCCTTTGGGAAGGGAAGATCCATGGCTGTGATAAGACTGGTGCATTTGTCATTTTGATTGCGTTGGACAACACCAACGTTTGGTATGTTATAATATATCAAATTCAGGAGGGCCACCCCGACGTTATTGTGTCTTCAACTCAACCGTTCAACGGAACATCATTCATATGTATGTCCTCTTCTCTGAGGCACGGAACCAACTGATTGACGACACAAAAACAGTTCTGCTCAGTTTTGGTTTCATGTTTTATACCTGTTGGTCCATGTTGACCCTACATCGTTCTTCGCAGGAGCAATAAACCCTTACCATCTTGAGCCCTAGGGGCTCCTGTCCCAAAAAGAAGGCAGGGACTGACCCGCCTGGCACCCACATCAACCACTGAACCTTTTCGGATGTGGAACAGGCAGCCCGCCTAGTCGCTCAGAATTGCTTTCAGGGAAACATTGACAGGAAACCAATTCTGTGCCCATAGTGCCCAAGGAGTGAAAAACCATGGCTTTCCAAGGTTCCAATCCCTTTTTCCCTACAGATACCTATAGGGCATGTTCAACCAATGCCGTGCCACCGGGTCGAAACGGCGCCTGGCGGCATGGTCATGGTGCCTCGGCCAAAAAAGGGCCAAAGGAGGTGGCATCGAAACCAGTGACATCCGGGTAACTAGAAGAGTTACTTACATGAATGGATCATGTTTATAATGAATTCGAGTCAAAACATCATCCAGCTGGTGAATCTGAGCTGGTTCAGTAGCGTCTTGCCGTGCTTTGAGGCACCTGAAACATGCTGAAACCCTTCCACTCAGCTGCTGATGCTGTCAGAGGTATCAGGAGCTGCAGGGAAGACTCACACAAACCCGGCCTTCTAGTTTATCCTAGGAAACATTCACTGAAAAATGTGTTCTTTGAAACTTCCTGACTCAAACAATGACGCAGGTGTCTTTTTATAAAATTCATGCTCTCATTTCACACCCACATTCAACCTTCGGGACGCATCCTTGAACAAATTAGAGGCCAAAGCGAACCAATTCGAACCAAGTTTGTAGTAGGAAGCTAGTAACAAGTGCCACGCTAGTAGTAACAAGTGCCATACTAGTAGTAACAAGTGCCTTACTACTAGTAACAAAATTCGAATTTAAATTGGTTCGCCCATCGTCCGCAGCGCCTGGATTCGTCTGCGGCGGGGACGACTTCCGTCGTCCGTCACACAGCCAGCTGAGCCGAGCCGTTCGAAGATGGCGTGTGACGGCGTCCAGTGTTCCACATCTGAAAGCCCTGTTGAGAAGCCAAAAGGTTGGCCACCAGAGCCAATTCGATGAAGATCAACACCTTGACAGGGGAAATACGTGATCTGAACTTCATGCAAACTCTTGTCTCCCGATGCCTCCTTCGGCGACCGCCGCAGTGACGAGGACCGTGAACCGACTGGGTGAACCTGGTCGTGGGACCTGGTCCGAACACGGTCGCAACAGAACTGTCCGTGGAATCCATGCTTGTTTTCACTGAAGGCTCAGGGCAATCGATTAGAGAAGACATATCTTATGATGACGACTTTGCGGGATGGCAACTGGATGCGTTGATGTAAGGACATTGCTGCGCTATGTCCTCCATTGAACATACAATATTAACGATTGGAATCAGAGTCTGTTTTGACCCATGCCTCTATCAAATAAGTCTCTTTGTAGCTGCTGTAGCCTTTGCCGAGCAACAAAAAGAACAGGGTGTCCGACGCGTACTTCTTGTGCCATCCAGGGAGGTCTCCTTTTTGGTCGGAATTCTTGGAATCATGACCCAAACAGCTCAAGATCCCCCGCCGTCACCTTTGGATCCTGCCCACGCCGGCGTCATATCAAGACCCGCACGTCTGGAGACCCCACCCCCGCGGGTCGCGCGGGGCTCCGTCGCGCGTCCGGTTCGCGGGACGGCGACGGCGTTTCCGGGGGCCCTCCAACACGCACGGTCGGGCTATGAAGAGGCATGAAACGATTTGGATGTTTTAAGGACCCAGGCAAGGTCAGCAGAAAACGGTCGGGCTGCGCCCTCTCGGCCGTCAGACTGAGCTGCACCGTTCTTAGCGCCGGACTTGTGATGTTGACCTTATATTTTGTCCAATGCGCAAATGAATGGCGCCTGTGGGAATTGTAGTTGAAGACCTCCGGCTTGGGTCGCCTTTGAACATGATAAGCAAGTTGATTAAGACTAAAGGAACCTTCCACCAAACAGGTGGCAAGTTGACCGAATCTGCTTCAGCAGCTCCTTGGACATTTGGAGGACACAGAGTGGCTATTCTTCTACACTGCTATGCTTCCGCGGAAAGACAGCCAAGTCCTTCCTTTTGGCTGCGCCATGAAGAGTCCAGGACTTTTTCAAGTTGGGGTTGTTTGAAACCCGTCCAACAAGTGAATTAACGAGATTGTTGAAATGAACCCGTCACTGTTTGCTGTTTCTTGTTCTGTGTGTGATTTCCCTAAGAGCCTCTTGCTGCATGAGTTATACCTTTCAACTGCCTGGAAGACCGGATTTCCTGAACGGACCTTGCCCGAGCCAAACCCAAGGGAGCGCTCGAGAACTGCTCACGTGGCACGCCGCGACAGACGCGACGCACGGTGATTTCTCACCCGAACTGGACCAAATTCTTGCTCCTAGCAGCGATGGCCTCCACCTAGTAGCTTCTTGCTCCTGGTTGCAAATCAAATGGAGGTTGAAACGGTTGACATGTTGAATTAACCACAATTTACACAGGCGGCTTCGATGTTGCCCACCTGATCCACCTGTAGAGGGTGAATAGTCAAAAGTAATGTACCTGGACCCTCGTACTGTACCCCTAGAAATGAGACATGACCGTACAAACATCAGGTACTTGTACCCACCTTTCCGAGGTACGAACGGAGGGTCGAGTCTAGGTCGTTCTTCCTCGTTGGTAAAGCGATTCTTGGCATTGGGTCATTGGGTCTTTTCATCTTTGCTTGGAATATCTTGGAACTGCATGAGGGAAGCTCACTGGCTCTTTGGCCCCCTTTTTTGAACCACTGGCTAGGTACTAGCTAGTAGGAGCTATAGGCTATATAGTGGTCCCCAAATAGATAGAAACTGTTTGCAAAACATGTTTAGTGGGGATCTACTTTTCTATCTATGTGGGTGTGTATATATATATATATATATGTGCCTATGATATCTTCTTTCCAAGCGCACCAGGTCCAGATCGGCTATTGCTTGCATTGCAAGGCTGGAGCACTCCCGTGAACGGGATTCCTAGGATGTCCGTGAACGGCAGGATGGAGGAAGGCTAGTCGTCCCGAAAGAAGGAACACTTCACACGGTCGGCGAAGGCCGTCCGTGAAGGCCAACGGTCAGCCTATCTGTCTTTGAATCCTGGAATCGAGATCCTTTCATATTCAATGCTGCGGCAGGGAAGAGATGAACAGCTGTGAGTGTATCGTAGAATGTCCCAATGCTTTCTATAATATGGGTATGTCGCCAGACTACGGCAAAGACATGAACACACACACACAAACACATGGTGTTGAGCCTCAGTGCTTCATTGCTTTCCTCTTGCTGCTAGCCTTTTGGCTAGGGCGCTTTCTTCCTCTCGTCCACGCTGTTCGAACGGCGAAAACACACTCGGTGAAACCCACCAGAACTCTGCATGCGCGGTTTCTCCGCACGGCATGCGCAAGAGCTCTGTGACTCCAGTGGCCTCCAGCGGCACTGGTGAAAAATGCTCGTGCGAGCGGGAGCCCAATTTAAGGGCTCAAGGTATAACCATCTTGGATCAAAGGGCCTGCGAAGCAACGAAAAATGGCACAACAGGTCCACAAAGCACAAACATGTAATTGTCCATGTCAGCTATATTGTGGAAGACAAAACATGTGTAGCAAAAAGATCCAAAATATGTTACAGTAGATCCGATCCAATATCTCCTGCATACGACCCTGACACTCTGTGCCTGACAGCGCGGACACCACCATGTCAATCTTCTGCGGCAACAGCGACTTCGCCTGGGCGCTGTGGCGGTGTCGCTCGGCTTATGAGGTGACCCACAGATACTTATGCTTGTCATAAAGCTAATATATACTTCTATTTGATTGTCCGTGGCCGTGTGACTTTTGGACAAGGTCACCATATATAGATGGTCGGCCCAGGGGGGAATCATCTGATTCGTAGGTTGCACCACATGGGGCTCGCGGCAAGACACAAGACACAACCACACACGCCACACACCTGCTAGTGTTGCCAAATCCCTGCGGTCATCCATGTTCACAAGGGAGACCGCACAAGAGGAGAGGACGACCTGGAGGTGCGAGTCTAGAAGTCTGGAGCCTGTGGAGCCTGTGGAGCTGGGTCAAGGTCACGTGCTCTGCTCAGCTCACGTGCTCAGTTTCAGCTCGACGTGCGGCTTTCCTAGCACAGGAGCAGGAGCAGTATCTGCCTGCTTGACACTGCCTCCGGAAGGTGTTGTCAGGGAGGTTCATGATGTTCATTGCACACGTCCTTGCCTGGAGTGTAGCCATGTCTAGCGCCTAAGGCGAGCCGCCCACGGTGTTCAGCATCGATCAAGCAGTGGGGCCTAGAGGAGAAGCGGCCGGCACTGCAGCAGTCGCCCGTTTTCACACATGATAGGGTTTCTGTGTGCTGGCGCGCGGATGAACCATTTACACGGGCAACCAGTCCATTGTTACTGTTCCGTTCCAGTGGCTCTTATCTTTAAGGCGATGCCGAAGGTGGTACCTGACAAGGTCGCGAAACACAAAGGTTCTTGTGAACTGTAAATTGCAGTGAGCCGGTCTCTACCGGTCAGTATCTGAAGTTATTTTCAATGCGTCTTTTTCGATCCGCTTGATGCGCCTTGAGTTTTGGCGAGCAGTATCGACGCAGTGTAAGCTTGGCGATTTTGACGCCGTTTTTCACTCTAAACTGGGCCCCGGTTCTGCCCTGTCCCCTGGTGCGGTGAGGTGTTTTTGGCGCAGCAGATCCGACCATATTATGAGTCAGATATTTTTCAGCAGCATGGCTTCAAGAAAAATCAAAACGTTAGACGCACAGAGATGGGTCAATCCTCTTTTGATCTCTTTTGTCTAGCTTTATTCAGCTCGACAACTGGTCACTGAAATGGCTTGTCACATGAAGCTCAAGACCTCTACACCTCTGACTGGGTCTCTACGGCTATAGATCTCTATAGACCTCTAGAACTCTAGACCTGCGACGTCTATTAATAGATGCCTCTAAACATGTAGGCAATCAAATTTCTCTGGACCTCCGGGTCACTCTACCTCAAGGGTAGCCACAGCACCGCTGGGCAGTCCAAAAGCAAACGTAAGCACATGCGTCAATATTCTGAACGGCGCTGGTGTAAAACCAGGGCGTTTCAGTTTTCTTCTGAAACCGTGTCCAAATCAATTTTTATCGCCAGCAATCGTATGTGCAAGGTTTTTATTCGCTGTGACAAAGCACATCGTCGCAAGTTAAGCCCCTGAAAGAATGGTCCCGAAACGGATGCCTGAGAAAAGGCGTTAGCAGAACAAGACTGCTCTCGTCATCTTTGTTCTTCGACAACGACTCGCAAGTTAAGCCCGCTTATGATACGCCTCCAGAATCTTCTGAAAAAGTGGTCCCGAAACTGATGCCTGGGAAAAGGCGTTAGCAGAACAAGGCATCTTTGTTCTTCGACAACGACTCGCAAGTTAAGCCCGCTTACGATGTGCCTCCAGAATCTTCTGAAAAAGTGGTCCCGAAACAGATGCCTGGGAGAAGGCGTTAACAGAACAAGTAAGTGCTGTCCAGGTTGACAGAGGTGCTGTCAATGACGACAGTGCTCACAAAGAAGACGATGTCGAAGCTCAGGCCAGCAGGAAGAGCCGACGCCGTAAGGGCTTTCGCCCGATGCTGCCAACCTGCATAGGAGCGCACCTGTACCAGGCGCGCTCTATAAATACACACGCGTGTTGGTGGGGTTGCCGTGCATAGCGACATTGCGCGATGGCCCACCCCAGACAAGGCATTGTGAGCTGACACAAAAGGCGGGCGGCGTAGCTGATTCTCCTCAATGCAAACTTTGCACACAAAAGTCAACAACAGTCTTTCTGCCCTCGCCAACCGATGCCATAGAGCTCCGTGTTTCCATATCGTTTTTGCTGGTGTCACAGGTGTCCAAGAAATTGCGAAATGTTTGGCACAGGATCTTTCCCCCGGTTCCGTTCAACCGTCCTCTTCAAGATTCTCCCACACAGCAGGACAAAGGTGTTGTTGTAAAGCTTGGAATGGCTGCATCACAGAATGCAATGTTCCTAGCCAATGCCTTGAAGCCAGTACTAGTAGCTCCAATAGACAGTGAAAATTCCGAAAGCCCTAACGGGCATTCTGGGTAAAACCCTTCTAGGATCTTCTAGGGCACACTTGCGCAACACCTTTGCTTCACGCCCTTGCGCGTCACTCGGGAAAACATTTGCGTGACACACTTATGGACATGCGTACTGAACTGATAGCGGTGCCACACGCCGGCCTAGGGTTCCATTTCCTAAGAGTATCAGTAGGAAGCCATGGAATCCTGGAGGTCTTAGAAGGAAAGGAGGCCCAA